TGATGTCATACCTAACTGTAGTTAGTTCTTTCGGTCGACATTGCGGTCACACCACGCAGTTAACAACAGTTAGTTCTAATTAGCCTAAGTAAATTCAGTTTTGTTTGTTGTTTTAGGTTCCCCCCTCGCTTCACGCTTGGTTTTTATTTTCTTGCATATTTATATATGCTCATCTCACACGTGCGAAAAAAGTGTCACATTCTGATTGGTTGTTTGTTTGTAAATTTAAGGGCCTGTTTACATGGAGGTGGGGAACCCCAGATAGGTGAGGTAAAATGCGGCAGGTCACCTCACCTATCATGTAAACGTGATCAAATTAAAATGAGAGATTATATGGACAGGAGGGTTACCCCACCTAAGCGGGTTACCTCACCTACCTGGGGTCCCCCACCTCCATGTAAACAGGCCCTAACCCACGAACCCTGCTTGGGTATAACTATAGTTAGTCCGTATTGTTTTGGATCACCGAGGCGTAAATTATCTAACTATGGTTAGAGGGAAAAGACAACCGGTCACTTCACCGAAAGAGCTAACTATAGTTATCCCCGTCTTAACTATAGTTAGTAGCCCAGATGTGACCGCAGCCTGAATAGTTGAGATAAAAACAGGAAATGCAAGGTTCCATGCACTGATTCAGTTCTATTAACACAGCTTTGATCAAAACATTCTCAGCTTCGAGAATAGATTCTTCTAAAACATAAGAAAACATTTAATTAGAAGTTGGAATTTTTCGCTATTTCTCTTTCACTTTTTACATATAGTTCATTTTATTTGCCGGAAAGTAAGCCCTAGAAATTCAAAGGTTTGATCAAATCACGCTCGCGCGTTCTAGTATTTTTTCCCTTTATAGAAGGACATCTGTGAGCAGGGAATAAGTCAGCACAGAATTTAATTGTCGGCGAATTTCTGTAATCGTCCATAGTTCTGCTGGTGATAAGTCGAGATAAGCTAGCCGTTGATTCACTCGTCTTGCTTGTTTGTGGACTGAGTCTTATTCCCCCAAAGAGAGAGAAAGAGTTTCTGACAATTTGTTCCCAATCAACGAGTTGTGAACTCGTGTTTGGCAAACTCCTCAAGTGTTTATAGCGGATCTTTCGCGCAGCGGAACACCATGGGTAAGAAAATGTGGTAATCTACAAATCCGAGAAATCAGTTTTGGTAATCACGTGACCGTACGCCCGCCCGACGAGCCGACCGTCCGTACCACAGGTATACCAATGTAAAATAGCTCAATCAACAGGTATGGCAACCCAAATGCAACTCTATTATGGATTGAAATCGCATAGCCACCCGCGTCTTTTAAAGCAGAGACAACTAAAGAGTCAATAAAGACGAAAACGGAAAGAGGAAATTGTTTCTGTATCTGTGTTGTCTAAAGTATTAAGCTTTTTAGATTAATTGTCATGTGCACAAATTTGGAATATAGAGCAAGACAAAGACAGAGAAAAAGAGAAAGTAGGCGACAGGCAATCAAAGCTCATAGAAAAAAAGGGCGACAGAGATCTAGAGTGAGAGATGAAAAACAAAGGAGACATTTTTTGCTGGAAGAACAACGTGAAAATATTGTAGCGGCGGTGACAAAATGAGAAATGCTAGCGACTAAGAAGTTTCACGTTGTAGTCGTGCAAAACAACGGGAAAGAAATGTACCCAAAAAAAGTTGTTTTTTTGCTAATTAGACCTATTGTTGTTTTTTCGCCGTTCTCGTTGCCCTCGCCGCTTAGCATTACACGATTTTTTTTTTGTTTGAACAAACCATAAATATTATCAAGAGATTCGCTTTTAGCCCTGGCTAAATCTATGTATTATATATGTTGTGGTTCAGTTTTATCCTTGGTTTTAAAAATTTCTCTTTGTTTTTTGGTATGGTAATGTATGATAATGAGTTTAAAACAAAGGGAAATAACATTTAAACCAAGGATAAAATTGAACCACAACATATACACACAGGGGCGGATCTAGGGGGAGGGTGCAAGAGGTGCGCACCCCCCCCGCCTCCGAGATTACCTGCGGTTTTCTAATACAACTGGTATTCTGAAAAAAAAAACTATATGGTTTATTGGTGTTGAAGTAGAACAAGAGACGAGTGCACCCCCGCTAAAAAAAATCCTGGATCCGCCCCTGACACAGTTAAACGCACTTTATAAGTTAATTCATCTGCGCTTAACGAGTGTCTTTTGGTCCATAACGTTCAAAACAGCTGCTCCACTGAATGACTGACAACAGGTAACGCAAAAGAGTATCGAAGTAGTACTGTTAAATAAATGTCACAAAATTAACCTAAGCGGTCCCTTGGGGCATTTTCTGTTTTACGTCATCCTAACCATCTTTTACTTTCGAGCGTGAACAATAGAAACGTGATCGTCATTACCCAACGATTCTATGCGGCCCCTGTTCATGCAAATCGAGATTTTTTCTGGCTTACTGACTGTATATTTCAACCGTAAGTACTGTACTTAATATACGCCTGAGCTACTAGGATGCCTCTTCGGGATTTCTCTGCGGGGGCAGTTACTGTAACTAATTTTAAATATACGCGCGGAATACAATGATGCCTGGGGCCAAAACCCGAGGAGGCAATAATTAAAAAGTATTGTCTGACTGCGCATTGCTATTGAACCTATAAGCACCATTCATGTTTCAATGGCCTTACAAGGAAGTTCAACTCAATTCAGATGCAATCATGATAAAGTTTAGTAAATACCGCGGTTAGAAACATGTAAAATCCAATACCGCTATGGGCCATTTTCGCGATGACAACATTTGACTACAACTACCTAAACCAGAATTCAGTTTGCTTTTGCTCTCCTATTTAAATTTCTCGGTCATCCTGTTTACTTTTGTGTTTGTTCTATTATTTTTTTTTTCGATGAAATAAGTTTTTAGGTTTAGGGAAATCAAATGCCACCGTTTATCAGTGTCACTACAAGTTGCACTCTTTAAATTTGTTTGACCCTCATTCCGAGTACCAAACGGGGCCAGGTGATGATCGAGAATCACCAAGGCCGACATGGTTAAAACTAGGAATTTGTCCCCATCTATAAGCCGCTTTAAACTCGGTTAATTCTGATTTTCCTACTAGGGTAGGAACAGGAATAGCAACAAAAGCAAATAAACAAAAACAGTACAAATACATCTTAGCATCTTATACCACAGTTGATATTCATTTAGTCCGTAGTCACTAACATACTGAATCTTTGGTGGGGTACAACTGGGCCCCAGCAGGCAGGATTTACATTAAGACGTTAAGTCACCTAAGCATGTTTGTCTAGTTTGCAAGTAATTTTGTTTTGGATTGCAAGCTGGTATGTTGTTAATATTTGCAAATTAAACAGACAGCAGTTTAATAAAAATTAATTTTCTAAAGGTTAGAACCGGGCTGGTACAATTTTCAAGTTGGTAGGATGAGGGTTAAATTAAAAGCTAGCGATTTAGTTATTATGTCAGAAAGAAAATTGTAAAATTTCTCACCAATGCCAGATTCCGTTTTGAACCTGATCGTTACCGGTTTACTGCCTACTGTTGTGTACCCTATATCACTGGATGGCTGGAGAGAGTGAAAACTTAAAGGGACAGGTTCACGGTTAAACGCATGCCCATTAGTTTAATTACTTTTTTCCAATTTATTATTAATTCTATTGGTTAATAATCCCACTCACATGTATCTCAGCGATCTCAGAGTGTATTTCAAAGTAGATGTGTATTTCAGAATAACCTGAAGTAGGAAGGAGGAGTACTAAAATCGAAGACAAAAATAGTGGATTATGCCAACACTACCAACTTTGAATTTATTGTTGACCCGATGGTTTTATTCCATGGTTGATTAATTTACAGCTATTTGCAAATATTTAAGTTGACCGAGTGCAAGTGACTGCCAGGGGAGTGTGCAGATTGGTTCTTTGAGAGCATTATGACATGATCATATTGCTTGCATGGACGATCCAGAATGTCCAAGCAGAAAAACAGCATTTTGATAAATGAGCATGCACTGAACCGTGAACCTGCCCCTTTAAATCTACCAAAACACGCACACGCACACGCATCTCTTGCACATTAAACAGAGTGTATTATGGGGATTCGAAAATAGTCAATAGAAGGATCGCATGCCTACTATCTCAGGTCGGTCAGCTGTCAGCGGGAATGGCGGGCGTGTTCTCGTCTTCTCCTGCTTTAATTTCTGACGACTTTTCAAAGCTTTTTTAGTTTCCTTTCCACATGAATAATTAGGATTTCTTCTATGCTAGTTACGGACTTTATTCTTCATTTGACAAAAAAAAAATCAAAGTCAAAATTGCGTTCTGCTGAAGCGATCTAAGGGTTTGAAGATTCCGAATTGGCCTTGGGTAGTGTTATTCGTAAAGCCGTATAACTCTAGTTGTGATACTTATGATATATTCATATGCCATAGTAACATAGCGTGAAGAAATATTTTTTTTTATATAAAAAAGCAACATTCTATTTTTCTGTGTGTCATTGTATTTTGATGGTTATCCACTAGATTAGCCACAGGGTCCGGACGAGATGTGTTGGTCGTTAGAACATCAAAACCCGTCGAAAACCTCTGGAAAAATGGGTTATTTTGATCGCGTTACAATTTCGTTAGACTTGCGGTTATTGATTTTCAAAATGGCGAACAACAAAGTCGATGTGGGTCAGATAAGAAGCGAAGAAATCGTTTACGGTAGATTCATAAAGATCCCATTGGGCTAATTAATCGTGTTAAGCGACAGGTATAGACATTTTTTAAGGTGAGACTTTAAGTAAGTAATTCATTTATTCACACGAAATTCCTCTGGACCCTGTGCCCTTTTGCTTGGTGGTCGCCATTTTGGATAATTTGGTTCCAGTACGCCGATAGACTACAAAAGTATATACGTTAACAAAAATGGTCTAGTAATTAGATATCTGAATTAAAAAGCATGCACTCTACAGGTTGTATGATGGGCTAGTTAATCATGCTGACGTAGTTTCTCTATTCTTTGCAGCAAACAATTATAAAAGATGGCGGGAAGGCGAAACCGTACAGCTGTTTTAGTGCACGAAGAAGACGAAAATCTAGTGGAAGAGCTTAAGACGAGGATAAATGACTTACCTACTCAAGACGATTCCACCAAGTGTGAAGGGCTTATTCGAGAGCTGCACAAAAGGGTCTTGGCAGTTAAAAAACCAGAAGCTAAAGATCAGTTGCTTACTGAACTGAAAACTGTTTCCAGCTGTGGATTGAGCGAGGATCTGCGGGAAAAGATCACAAAGAGCGGTCTTGGCTTAGAAGGACTTGACCTTGTGTTGAAATACCGGACGACGACTACAGAACTCGCCCAGTACCTGTTTGCAAGTTCTGATGAAGATGTCAAAAACGATGGTCTTGAGGTTCTAAAAAGGAGGCTAGGACCTAGTCTAGAAGTTCTGGGTGGATTGACCTCTAAAGGAATTGATGTGAACAAGGAGTGGGCCAAAAGGCTAATCGAAGAAGTGCCCTCTCTTCAGATACTTGCTCGTATTTCCATCAGCGACCTAACCAGATTGTGCCAGCAGGAAGGCGAAGGGGGAGCTAGTCCTGGAGAAATGGATGTAGTTCGTAAGCTTATAAAGGTAGCTGAATCCCGTACTAGAAAAGCTTCTGCCATTGAAGAAGAACGAGATCAACGGAAAAAGGGAGAAAAACCCATTGACGAAGAAAAATTGGAGAAGGCCAGGGCACTGATGAACGAGGCAAAAGCTGAAGCAAAAAAAGGCAAGGATGAAGCTGAAACGGCTGTTAAAGAGAAAATGGATGAAGTCGCAAGAATCCTTAAGCTGCCGTCTGATTGGTCCAAACAAGAGAATGAAAAGAAACCGGAAGAACTGTTTGAACACTTGGACAGTATAATTGAAAAGTTTGACATCGTTGAAGTGGGTGAATCTTACAAAAGCGACTTTGAAGTGGTGGAGAAAGCCAGCGGCGGCCGTGCTCTCTGTGCCATCTATTACTCTAAGATTGAACCGACACGTACAGCTGAAAGACCGCTCATAACCATGCCTGCAAAAGTGAAACTTTGCAGCCCTAACAATTCTCAGCAGATTAGATACTTAAAATTCTCCGAAAGAAGGGCTGCTGCGAAATACGTTCAAACTGTCAAATCTTCAAGCACGAACATTGGTTATAGTGTTGGTGGATTTGCTTCACTTTTTGTTGGCAACGTAAGCGGAGGCTACGGTTCCAGTCAAGAGGAAGGAAATGTCAGTTCAAAAAAAGCAAACATAAACAGTGCCTCTGTGTTGCAGTACATTTGGATTGCGAAAAAAACGTTCAAGTTAGGTCGAGAGCAGATGAGGCTGTCTATGAGTGCAAGAAAAATGGCAATGTCTATCATCAGTGCAGGCAGATCTCGAAAAGCGCCAAGAAGCTGCTCGTAGCTTCATGGGCCGCTATGGGAGCCATTTTCCGGCCGGCTTGCATACGCTTGGTGGGGTACTTTTCAATACTGTCGATGCAGAGAGCTCAGACGAAAAGGACACATATGAATTGACATCGAAAGCCACCGACTATCTTCATAATCAGGTTTCCGTAGGTTTCCTTGGGGGATCATTTGGAATAGGTGCTAGCGTTAGTACAGACCACTCAAACAGCAAAGGAAAAATAGAAGCCACTCATCAGGAGGCAGATAAAACATCTTATACTTTCGATGTTCAATCGATGGGACCGGCTGCCACAAATCCAGCTACGTTCAGCAAGTTGCTGGCCAACAATTCAACCTGGGCCTTGATTGATCGTGGAAGCCATCACGCTTACATCCCAGTTTGGGAGCTGATAAGAGATCTTGGCAGCGGCTATGAAGATGTAGCTAAGATCCTGGAAGATACTTGGTGCCAAGACGAAAAACGAAAGAAGCGAGAGGTCCAAACACTTGAATACAAATTACAGGGAATCATAGAAGACGATCTAGCACGAAAAAAAGCTGACTGCATTAAAAAGGTTGGTTTCCCGCCTCCGCTACTAATATTGAGTAACTAGCTTTTCACCCAAGACTTTTACTTCTTTCTGTACTTGGGTGCTTGAGCCCCATGTTCTTTAATAAGTTTTCATCTTGAACAACAGCTTGTCAGCAGATCCAACATCCTTGGTCATTTCATATAGTCCAACCCCTACAGTTTTACTAGCAAGTTTAAACCCCGACACAAACATTTTGTGAAAAAAGAAAAGGAATGTTTAGCAACTATTGAATCAGGCTGAGTAGGATATGAAAAATTCTGCAGATCGAGGAGGGTGTTATCCGCCGAGGCCTTCCTCGGTGGATAACACCCTCCGAGATCTGAAGAATTCTTCATATCCTACGAAAGTCGAATTCAATAAATTCTTTATTATTCATTCAAACTAATTCCAAGTTTAAAAACAAGCTAAAACTTGCTTATCTCGGTCGATGTTAAGTTCATATCGATAGTGCATCTCTACCTGGACATTTAGGAGATAAAAGTCTATTCAGGGCTACAAATATACTCCAAATAGCAGATGTCATCTGTCGAGTTGTCTTCTTGCTGTTCTTGCTATGAGTTTAGACAATATTTCGCCGTAAAACGAGTAAACTGTTTCGCCGACTGTTCATCCCCAGGTTTTCTCGGATAACGGTTCAATAATCCGCAACTAAGGCTGCATTTTTGATGTCATCGGTTCAATATGACAAAATACTTCCTAATTTGGTCAACAGTAGCCGGTTGTGATGAATTAGGCGTATGCTTTTAGCCAATCAGAAACGGAGAAATATTTTGAATGAATAAGAAATAAAAATAATAACTAGGGTCGCCAAGAAATAAGTTGAAGGAATTCTGATGTAAAACAAAGCTAACTGAACTCATCAGGTCAAAACGTGACATGAGACTGCTTTGTTGTAGACACCCGAGGCAGACGACTACGGTCACGTCCCAAAACATGCCGCAGAAATTACGTCCAATTTCAATTTGAAAACGGAAGACTTGACAAGGAAAAAGCTTACCAAACAGCCTTTGACGTGGTCAGAGAGACCCAAGGTACTTCATCTGCGAGATTGCTTTTTGCGATGGAGGGACGTACACAGTGCGCTGCTGGAAAGCCAAAGACGACGTTCCAATGAAGTTTGAGAGTGTCAATGGTGAGCATGTGCTGTTCTACAGTGACATCGTATTCAGGTGGAACGATAAAGTTCCCATTAAAGCTGAATAGATTTAACTCAAGCAGCAACTGATTCCGGAATCATAATTGTAAGTTTTAGACAATGCGGTTAATCTCAAAATCAATTCAAACATTTCCATTGCAAAAATCTGGAAAGCATAGCAAACCGTTTTTCAAAACACAACATTTTAAAGGGCGAACTAGGTCAGTTCTCTTCGTAAACCGTTTCGCCATTTTGAAGGACGATAAGCGAAGAGTATGCTCCACTAAAATCACCTGTTGTAGATATTTTTGTGACAAGATCGATGAACTTTCTAAAGACACATTCATGACCTTTGTAGCCGGGCCGCGAAGAAGTTGTATTTACTTCATTGCACGTTTCAGCCTTGAGAATGCTTGGGCCTTTCCCGCATCCCTGTAAACAATGGTATCAAGTCGAGGCTTGGGTGGACAAAATACAGTGATTTATATGAAATTGTCCACCCAAGCCTCGACCTCATTTCTTTATGCTTGCTCACTGGAGCGGAATGCTGGAAAGGTCTATTAAAAACAAGGAAAGCGCAAAAGAGGTGGAAACCTGATGTAGTACTAATAATAGTACTAAAGAGCGCTAATGAGTTAGAAGCTTGTGTGACTGTTTGAAGTTCGTTTTTGATAATACCTTTTCCTAATCTTTATTGGAAAGAGCGTAATAATCTTACATATAGATGATAATAGTAATAATAATAATAATAATAATAATAATAATAATCGTGTAGCTTCCCTTTAATGTTGGATGGCATCAGAGAAAATTTCACATGAAGATGTTAAATGCGTCTGGTATAAAAACGGGACGCCGTAGCGTTATCATGCTAGAAACGTTTAACGGTCGTCTAGACGCATTTAACGTCTGAGACGTTTAAGTCGACTGGTGCAAAAATAGGACGCATAAAAGTTGACGGAAGTCCTGGAAAATAGCAGAATTTTTTCCGAAAAAAAGACAAAACACTGACTCTTCCTAGGCGTTTTTCGACGGGTTGAGCATAAATGCGTCTCAGTTTACGACGTCCCTTTATCATACTACAAGACGCAATTAACGTCTGAGACGTTAAAGTCGTCTGTTTAGTGGTTCTTAACAACATACTAAGACGTTTATGTCGTCAGACGTTTAATGGGCCAGTCTTATTAACCGTTTTACACTAGACGTTAAATCCTTCTCATGACGACTTTAACGCCCCAGACGACATTAACGTCTCTAGATTAAAGACGCCTAGTTAGACAACAAAATTAAAAGGTAATTCCCTTGAAAATGATCTACTATCCAAATTTTTTTCACAATTGGCAGAATTGATAGTCATGTATAGAACATTCAGAAAGTGCAATAAAAATATGGGGTCACCCTGCTTGTTTTCGCTCTGCGTGACCGTAATTCTAATCATTTTTTCCTAGTTGCGCGCGAATGTTCGAAACTTGAAAAAACTCAAAAATTGGTTATTCAAAATTGGTTATTTAAGTACTTCTAATCATTTTTTCCTAGTTGCGCGCGAAATGTTCGAAACCTGAAAAAACTCAAAAATTGGTTACCATTTGGCTAAAAACACGAATGTTAACGAAACTTAGACCCCGTTTGTTTGTCTGGGCTATCATGTTTCAGAAAAGAGACTTTTGACCTTATCTCGTAGTCCTCTGAGGCTTCAAATGCGGAGTTAAAGTTTAAGTCATTCATATTTAAATAACACAACCTCTACTAACCTGGTTCGGGTATTTTTCTCCTTTTAGTATGTTTTTCTTATAGCCATAAGGAGTATAAAACATCAATAAAAATGGAGGTCATCGTTCTCGTTTCCATGATCACAAAGGGACAATTTCGGCTTCCAATGACATTTTGCGTAAAGGGACTGGCTCGAGTTCCAAGACCAAAATTTAGCTGGGAAGAGATATCATACTCGCAGATAAAACCATTTGGACTACAAGGGAGGCCTCCGTTACCTCTCTTTAGGCGCAGTAGGTAATATGCAGTACAGAGCAAGGGAATTACCTTAATATCCCTAGCATACAAATGGCCATTTTTTTTTTTTTAACTAGACGATGAAGTCGTTTTAAGACGACTTTAACGTCTCTAGCATAAAAACGGCCATTATCATGGTTGTAGTGCATGTAAGAGATAAAATATATAAGCGGGAGATCTGTAGGGGCGTTTACAATGGTGAGCCGAAAGCAAGCCACTGTAAAGCCCATACAGATCTCTCGGCGCTCATATTTCATCGTACTTGTGACATGAAGGCAATGAGTAGTGATGTGCATAAAAAGTTAATGAATACCAATAGGACAAAATTCCACGATGACGTAATTTTACTACAACTACCAGAATCCTTCAGTTTGTTGTTTTCTTGCGCAAATTACGGTTACTGTTGTTTAAACCTCAGCGGAATTGAGAAAAATGCATACATACATTCATTCGTTAATGGCGGGAGTTAATGAGTGTGGTCATCTTTTGACCATACGAAACAGAACTGTAACATTAAACGAATGAATATCTTCTGAAATCTGATCTTTTTAGACTACATTCAATGAATTTATCTTTGCTCCTCTGGAGTTGAGCGATTTTATAAATCCATTCAACTGAACTGTCAAAGAGTACATACAAAAAAAACATACAGAATTTATTTTAAGCATGTTAAGAGTCTGGCAGCTAAAGAGCTGATATGGACCAGCAAAAAAAGGAAAGCAAAAAGGAAATGATACTGGTAGTTGTAGTCTAACGTCGTCATCATGAAAACGGCCTATTGCAGCTTATTGGCTAAGCAGGAGTTTGTATCAAACGTTGATTGTATTGTTTAATACTTCATTAATAGTTCATTGGTAGCTTTTTTCGCTCTCTAAAAAAAAAAAAAAAAAAAAAAAAAAAAAAAAAAAAAAAGAGGACAGTAGATATATCTAGCAACCTTTGTGGCATTACAGGTGTGGTATGGAATCCCTAATGAAAGGGTTCCCAAGTCTCCACTAAAATAGTGGGTAAGGTGGGGAGGGAGGATGCGTGTATACAAGGGTGTTGTGTGTATAAAAACAGAACAAAAAAGTTAGATGTTAAGATTAGCACTGATAATGAGGGACGGGCAAACTGCAGAGCAGCTATGTCTACCTCAAAGAAGTGCAAAAAAATTATTTAGTAGAAAGTAATAATTGCTGAAATTTTAATAACGATAGGATTAAATAAAATATTAAAGTTGAAAAATAAAAAGAATAAGTATTGAGGGACTGGCAAACTGTCAAACAGCTATGTCAACCTCAA